AGATACTCAGGAGGTTGAGGCAGAAGAATTGCTTGAACATGGGAGGTAGAGGTTGCAGTGAGCCGAGATCGTGCCACTGCACTCCAGCCTGGGCAACAGAGCGAGACTCTGTCTCCAAAAATAAAAATAAATTAAAAAGAGAGATAAAAGAAGAGCCTATAGAGATTTAAGACAGGCAAAACTAAATGCTGTTTACATACTTGAATGACAACACTATAAAGTAAGGAAATGATCACCATAAAAGCCAAGACTGCAGGTCCTCTGATGGGGAAGCGAATGGGAGGGAAACGTGGTAGGCTTCTGAACTAGCTGGCCAGGGACCATCTCCTGACATAGGCAGTGGTTACAAGGCTGTTAATCTTTGTAAACTTATATATAATTTACTAAGCTGTACTTTTGTGCAGTTTCTCTATTTGTTATTTTTAACAACAAAAATTTAAATGGAATGATCCTACACACAGGAACCTTATAATTCTAACTGTGCCAATCAGTGTTCTCCCCAGCTGCTATCATATATAAACATGAAAAGCAACATTCCAAATCTTTTGGAACATATGAATAATACTTTTTTTTTTTTTTGAGACGGAGTCTCGCTCTGTCTCCCGGGCTGGAGTTGCAGTGGCCGGATCTCAGCTCACTGCAAGCTCCGCCTCCCGGGTTCACGCCATTCTCCTGCCTCAGCCTCCCAAGTAGCTGGGACTACAGGCGCCGCCACCTCGCCCGGCTAGTTTTTTGTATTTTTTAGTAGAGACGGGGTTTCATCATGTTCACCAGGATGGTCTCGATCTCCTGACCTCGTGATCCACCCGTCTCGGCCTCCCAAAGTGCTGGGATTACAGGCTTGAGCCACCGCGCCCAGCTGGAACATATGAATAATTCTTATAAAAAGTCCACTCAAGTATTTTGAATGCACCCAATAATGTCAGCTAGCATCGTCACGGTTTTTTATTTGAAGCTGAAAACCTCATACTTACTAGTTTGCTGCTGCTGCTGTTGTGTATTAAATCCTCCAAATCCCAGTCCAGTTCCCAAACCGGTACCTAAACCAGTACTAGTTCCCGTTGTTGTGCCAAAACCAGTACCAAATCCAAAACCTTTGTTCTGAGTACCACCGAAGAGTCCTTTGAATGAAAAATTGGAACTTCGTAAGTTAAAAAAAAAAACAAAAAACGACCTCTACTTCATTTACTTCTACAAATGACTTAAGATGGCCTCTTACCAGTAGTGCCTGTGTTAGTGGGGGCAGAAAAGCTGAATGCAGAACCTGCAGTTGTAGATGTTGTCCCAAATCCTCCAAACCCACCTAATTAAAAAAGAACAAAAATAGAAAGGAAGAATCTTTTGTATATATAAAGGCAACTTTTTAAAATTATAATTGCTACATATAAAATCAAAATATATTGATCTAATTTTTCCTTTCTCTACTTTCAAGATCAATTTTTTAGAAAACTATACTACCAATCGAGAAGTCAAAATGTTACAAGAAATGAACTAAGCATTTAAAATAGAAATATCACAATGTAATATATACCCTTCAATTAAAGGGGTGGTTAACAGTTACAGATGAGAAAACACATTAAGCCTATTGCCATAATTCTAAAACGACTATGTATGTACTTTTAGAGGATGTGTTGCAAATTCATATGTCTAAACAGTAAAGACTAAAGTAGACTATGTGTTTACTGACAGGTGGAACTGTTTAAAATGAATAGTTTTTTAGATCAGCAGTTCCTAAATTCCAGCAGATACAAGAAAGGTAGTTTAGTAGTGTCACATATTCCCATTTTTTACCCCAAGAGAAACAGGAAATCTGGATTTTCCATGTAAAATGTATGGGTTTTTAAACCCTAATTCAACTACTTTTTTTTTTTTTTTGCAAGGAATTCAAATGTTTTGAAAATAGCGTGCCAAACATATCACATTAGCAGACTCGTTGCCAGTTTGCAACCTTGGTTTTGGTGAATTTATGTCAAGATTAACTTATATTTCTACTTAGTCTCTGTGAAGACTAAGTAACTTTTCAAAGGAAGCACACCAATACACTTACCTCCATACAACAAGAATGTGTTTCTTGAAGGAAGAGATTTGATAGATAAATGGAATGCTAGCCAATCTAAAATTGTTTTGTTATTTTTGTAACTTATTGTCAGTCTTCAGCTGATTACCAAGGGTATCAAAAAGCCTTTCAAGACAAATGTTTGAACCATTAGTGTCGAATTATATTGCAGGTTTTTTGGAATCTACCTTCAATTTTATTTATTTCTGGTATACAACACAGATTCATCAATATTGCAATACAGAAAATACAAGAAAAAAATGCAACCATTTTATATTAATCACCTCATTCTGATTTGGAAAACTACTCAAGTAAGCTGCATGTTGCATGCAGGCACAACTAAATATTCTATTTACTTGTAGGTTCTACTGCAGTACTGCAAACTGTAAACATTTTCATAAAAATCACCTAAAGTACTAAGCATTGTTGTAATCTCTTTTCATTACTTTTCACTTCCACAGAATAACTATGATATAATCTGAATTGGCTTCACAATAAACACTAGTCAGTTTCTTATCATGCTCCACAACATCAAAAATGTTTTAGTAATAGCAGGTCTACAAGTATACAAAATAAAAAGTAAACAAGAACTTTTATCAGCCCTCTGCTGAAGGTTAACACATATAAAAGTAGTTAAAACATGTTACATTATCGTAACTCAAAACTTAACAGTGATAACTCCAAATGAACATGAAATCAAGCAAATACCAACAAGTTTATTTACTGTTGTTGAATTATGAGCTGGGTGGTTTTATTCGGAAACACAAATTTCAAAGTAAGATTTCTGTTTTACCCAGTGCCAATTTTAAGCAAACAAGGAAAAGCAAACACACCAAAGGACAGTGATATGTGATCACTTCGAATACATCTTAATTAAAATGGATCATCTCGTCTTTGAAGTTTTCAAATATTCTTCTGTTTTCAACTCAGATGCTAGGGTGATAATCACATTGCAGTAACAAGTGAATGAATAAAATACCAAACTTCCCAAGTAAGGTGTAGGGAGTAAATAATGTTTATCAAATGCATATAATTGGCACGGGCATAAGAGGCATAATGTAAGAGACTATGGACGATAAATTCATATACGAGCAGCTGAAGAACAAGATTTTTTTTCTACAGTGTCACTATGTAAAGTACACATAAACCTATTTTAAATGCATACATAATATCATTATTGCGTCTTGCAAAATTTTTTTAATGAGCTTCAAACAACCCACATGCATAAGAAAATCTTCATAATTATCTTTTTGAATGCAAAGACGTCTAGCCTACCTTTTAGAATTCGGGGCTATATGCCATAAAATTAAACTGCTCTCTTTGAGCTTTTCCCAAAATTCCAGAAAAGAATTGGGGATTCTTTCTATAATTACACATCTTATAGAAATTACACATCTTATAGTATCCTAATCTGCTGAGTTGACCAAAGAAATACATTATTATCATTATAACACAAGTTAAAAAACAAAACAGGTTACTGCTGTTCGTATAAGACTTGTTTCTCTTTGGAAACAGAAGGACAATAAAATGAAATCTCAATGAAAGATGCAGAAAAAATGAAAAATGACTGCAGGAGTCCAAGAATCCCAGGATGGGCTTGACTGGTGGTGAGTTTATACTTTGGAAGTCTTATCTAATAATTTAAAAGATATATTCCATTCAAAATTATAATCCAAATGCTTATCATTTGGAAGATAAGTGCACATTTAATAAAGGAACACAACTTGCAAAACTTTCCTAAACCACATCTTTTAAGGTACTAAAAACTTGATATAAATGTTTTTGATCTGAGATCAGGAAACAAATTTCCTTTCCTTATTAAACAAGTAACAGTTCCTTCCCAAACTCCAGGAACCACAATATTCTTGGACTCCAGCTCCCAACACTCGTTACACATACAACCCGCAGTATCTACCTGCACTTGCCAGACTGTTACCAAAATTGAACGGAGTCGCCGAGGTAGTAGAAACACCGAAATTCCCAATATTAAAGTTCACTGCAGGATTAGCAGTTAATCCGAAACCCCCAAAATTAAACCCACTGGCGGTGGAGTTGGCAGTCTCAAGCCCACCAAATCCTGATAGGCGTGTAGGCAAAGAAACAAAATTTTAAAAAGGGGGAGAGGGAAAAAGAAAAGAAAGCAAGGTAAGGATTACAAGAATCAGCAGGAGGTTTCACAGAAGTGAACAAACCTGGTTTTGCTCCAAACAGTTTAAGAAAGCAGAGTGGGGGTGGGGTGGGGCAGATGGAAGAAGCACGACGGATAAGCCCCATAGCGAGGACCACAAGGGGCCGGGGCTGGAACTAAGGGAGTCAATGGGAGTGCCGGTGGATCCCCAGCCCCATCCTCGCTGGCAGCGGGAATCACGCAAGCGTTCCCGCCTATCTGGGAGGCTGAGGTGCAGAAGGGAGGGAGGGAGGCTCTCGGGCAAGGTGAGAGGGGAGCAACCTCCAATTTCTCTGAGTAGAACTCCCCGGTGGCGGGAAGCGAACCGCTGAAGCCAGGGCCCTGTGGAAACTCACGCGCGGCGCGCGAGCTTCTAGTGGGACCTCGAGTACCCCCGCGGCCTCCTCGGGAGCCGCCTCGGCCCACTTTGCGGCCGCCCGCCCTTTCCCAATGCCTCTAAAGTCTCCGCGTCGGCGGGAGATCCCAGGATACCCAGATCGGAGAGTCTCGGACAGAGGGGGCGGACCAGACCCTTCCCCTCCTTCCCGGGTGAAGGTCCAGGGGGATCACTCACCCGCGGGGGCCGCGGTGGCTGCAGCGGTACCGGAGGTGCCCGAGGGAGCCCCAAAATTGAAGGCCATGTCGCGAGAGCAGGAGACCAAGGAGATTACTCCCGCGACGCGCAGCGCGCTCCTCTTCTCAGTCCGGCCCGGAAACCGCCAGTCAGATCACCGAGTTCCGCCTCCTTTCTGGCCTAGCCTAAAAGGCCGGAAGGCGCCAAGGGCGTAGGAGCCGGGTGGTTGTGAGGGAACGCCCCCAGCCGGCTCACTTCCGGTGGGGTTCACAAGATGTGGGGCATCACTGTTAAGGTAAAATGCTGGGACGCTGGCGAGGGTGTGCCTCCTGGGAGTCCTTTAAAAACTGCCGTAGGGAGGTTCTTTGGGAAAGATGTGCAGAGGCTGAAGTTGTTACTGTAGGGATACGCGGTAAACAGCTAGAATTTGCATGTGGTAGGGTTGAAGTTGCTGCCCCATCAAAGAGTGGAGCTGGGAGGTCGGGCAGCTGGGCTGGGTTTGAGAACCCACCACCACCCACGAGGAGATGGTATTTGAACCCAGTGCTGAAGGATGAGTAGGCGGAGCAGAAGAAGTAAAGAGGGTGCACGTTGGAAGAAATGAAAGAGAATGGAACTGTAGCAAACACGTTGCGTTTACTCTGTGCCAGGCACTCTTCTAGACATTTTACATAATTTAATTCTCAGCTATCTTGTGAGGTTGGTTCCTGCTATCTCCAGTTTATAAAAGAGGAAACAGGTACCAGAGGGTCAGGCTGTGTCCAGAGTCAGTACTCCTAACCACAGCTCTAAGGAGCACTGAAAAAGAGGGGAAGAGTGGTCCCCCTCCATCTTACTTGTAATATTATTTAATCCTCAGAATAACTCAATAGAGGAGATTCTGTAACTATATTTTGCAGGTGAGATGAGAGGATTGAGGTTTGGAGTTGTTAAGCAGCTTGCCCAAAGTCACCTTGCAAGTAGGTTCTGGAGTCTAGTTTTGAACTCATGTTTCTCCACTCCAGAGTCCCAATTTGTAAAAATTACCATTGTATTATATTGCCTTGTAAATTATGGTAAGGATTTCAGACTATTTCTTGAGGGTAATGGGAAACCTTTAAGGGGTTTTAGGCAGAGGACTAGTATGACTAGAATTTTATTTTTAGAAGATCCCTCTGGCTGCCATGAGGAGAATGGATTGGAAGGAGCCAGCATGCCTCGGGAAGGTAGAGCTTTTAGGAGTCTGTTGTAGTTGCACAGGTAAGAGATGATGATGACTTGGATTATATCTGGCAGTGGAATTATGAGAATAAATTTGAGAGATACTTAAGAAGTAGCATATATAAGACTTGTAGTATTTGGACATGGGGAGTAAGGATTCAAGGACAACTTCCTGCTTTCTGGCTTGGGCAAGTTGGTGAATGGTGACCAGTGTCTGACTCCTGCAAACTAAGTATGCTTTCATACCCAATGCACTGCCTTCTTTCACTGTTTGTCACAGATAATTTATCAGTCTAATTTTTACTCACAATAATATATATTCCATAAATGCAAGAACCGTGTCCCTCTTGTTCCATGCCCTGCACAAGTATCTGGCATATAACAGGGGGAAATAAATAATGAATGAATGACAGATAGGTGGAAACCAGATCTTGAAAGACCTTCCTTAGCATGTTAAGGAGCTTTGATTTACCACCAGCTTGTCCAGCCTGCAGCCCACAGGCCACATGTGGTGCATGGCTCAGGATGGCTTTGAATGCAGCCCAACACAAATTCATAAACTGTATTGAAACGTTGTGAGGTTTTTTGGCGATTTTTTTAAAGCTCATCAGCTATTGTTAGTGTTAGTGTATTTTATGTGTGGCCCAAGGCAATTCTTCCAGTGTGGCCCGGGGAAGCCAAAAGATTGGGCACCCCTGAGTTAGCACATAGTCTAATGGTTAAGTACTTAGCTTACCTTTAAAAAACAACCCCCCAATCTAGCAGAAAGAAAAACCAAAGATTAATTTATGGAATCTGCCAGAAGCTCAGAAATTGGAGATATCATGTATCTTCATCAGTTGGGGTAAAGGGAAGATAAAATGAGAGGAACTGGTTGAAAGTCTATTTAAGAAGCAGTTAGAGCTCCCAGAATCCTCTTCTGACCTTGTGCAGCCAAGTGAATGCTTCTTCCCCACTCTAGAAAAATAATGGAGAATTCTTCTCTACAGTGATTAAAATAGTATTATTTGCCAGGCACCAGCCTATAGTCACATCTACTCGGACAGCTGATGTGGGAGGATTGCTTGAGCCCAGGAGTTCAGCCAGCCTGGGGAACACGGTGGGGACTCTCCCCTGCCCCCCGCCAGTGTCAAAAAAATAAAATAGTAGTGTCTCTGGACTTGGGGGCACCAGACATTATTGAGAGTGGGTAGTGCCCTACTGAATGCTGGAAGACTGAGTGGAAATGCATGCCTATACACCTTCCCCTACTGCTCCCAGAGCATTGGCAGCCAACCCTTTACCCTCCAGGAAGGTATAGGAGAATCTTCTATGGGTGAAATGACCAGTATCAGAGAAAAGACAGTCATCTGACATCAGAAATCTCTAAATAAATGATTTAGCCACATCACATTATAGCAGTGGTCCTCAACTGGTGCCAATTTTGACTTCTACTCCTCCCACCCCCTGGCACATGTGGCAGTGTCTACAGACAGTTTTGGTTGTTGCAACCAAACTTTTAATTTAAAAGTTTCATTCTCCTTGCAGTTTCCTCCAAGCTGCTTTTGCTGCGCTATTTGTGTTGATCTCTATACTCTGTGTTAAAGACTTTCCTCAGCTTGGTAATCCTTGCTGGTCTACTCATATTTAAGAGTGGAAGATCCTACAGGCATCTATTGGGTAGAAGTTGAAGATGCTGCAAAATATTATAGGACAGACTCCCTTCCTCCCCAAACAAAAAATTATCTGGCCCCAAATATCACTTTTACAGAGTTTGAGAAATCCTGCTTTATAATAAAGCTCACACTTCGCAAGCCTCGCTAAGACCCACAGAACTTCCATTCAGCTTTTAAGTTCCACTCTTAAATATGAGTAGACCAGCAAGGATTACCAAGCTGAGGAAAGGCTTTAACGCAAAGTATAGAGATCAAAACAAATAGCGCAGCAAAAGCAGCTTGGAGGAAACTAACTGCAAGGAGGATGAAACTTTTAAAAAGTGTCCACAGAGAGATAGCAAGAAATATTGTAACCATGAAATAATATCAGGATGTTATTATTTTCAAAGAAAGTATTCTTAGCAGAACAAAAGAGAGCTGTAGGAATTTTAAAGCTATTACCGGAAATGAAAAACCCAGTAGAAGTGTTGGAAGATAAAGGTGAAGAAATCTCTCAGAAAGTAAAACAAAAAGACCAAGGATGGAAAATTGAAGAAAAAATAAAACTAAAGGACTAGTTCAAAAAGTTGTCTATCACACACACTGTTATATTATGCACATCAGAAAGAGTATACAGAAAAATCTGTCCTTTAAAGTCTTTCAAGATTATTCCTATTATTCCTGTTATTCGTTCATTCAGAGTTTATTGAGTCCTACTATGTACTTGGCACTATTCTGAGCACTAAACAGAAAAGGTATGGTTTGTGCCTTTGAGAACTTACTGTTGAGTGAGGGAAAACCAGATATTAAGTTAATAGTACACTTGTGGGCCAAGTGCAGTGGCTCATACTTGTTTTTTTTTTTTTTTTTTGAGACGGAGTCTCACGCTGTTGCCCAGGCTGGAGTGCAGTGGCGCAATCTCGGCTCACTGCAAGCTCCGCCTCCTGGGTTCACGCCATTCTCCTGCCTCAGCCTCCTGAGTAGCTAGGACTACAGGCGCCCGCCACCGCGCCCGGCTAATTTTTTTTTTGTATTTTTAGTAGAGACGGGGTTTCACTGTGGTCTCGATCTCCTGACCTTGTGATCCGCCCGCCTCGGCCTCCCAAAGTGCTGGGATTACAGGCTTGAGCCACCGCGCCCGGCCGTGGCTCATACTTGTAATCCTAGCACTTTGGGGGGCCAGGGCAGGAGGGTCGCTGAGCTGGGGAGATTGAGACCAGCCTGGGCAATATAGAGAGACCCCATCTCTACAAAAAAAAAAATAGACCAAATTAGCCAGATGTGGCAGATGCCTGAAGCCCCAGAGGTTGATGCTGCAGTGAGCAGAGATCACGCCACTGCACTCCAGCTTGGGTGACGGAGTGAGACATCTCAAAAAGAAAATAGTGTACTTGTGACTATTCAAGAATGCAGCACAGATGAGAAAATTATTAAATAATTCAAGAAAATTTATCATAATTGAAAGACATTGTTGGTTTGAAAATGGTTCACCAAATGCTCATTACAATTAATGAAACTAGACTTACACTAAGGCACATTCCAAAATAACAGAACCATGATGGCAAAGAAGTTTCCAGAGAATAAAAGAGGTCACACACAAAAAAACAGGAATCAAAATGGCATCAGACTTCTCAATGGTAACACTACCTAGAAGGCAGTCAAGAAATGCCTTTGAATTTCTGAATACAAATTGTTTCCAGCTACAATTCTATTCCCAGCCAAGTTGTAGATCAGCTGGGAAGGGAGACTAACAGCATTTTTAGACAAAAAAAAAAAAAACTTTAAGAAAATAAAACACCTCCTATTTTTTAGGCAGTTAGTTACCAGAGGATGATTGCCACCAAGATGGAGCCAAGGCTGAAAGAGGAAGACATTCGGAGCTCCAGCACAGATGGCAGGAATCCCCAGGATGACTTGGAGAATAACCAGTCCAGACTGTAGCAAGTCTGGTTCTGGGGAAGGCTACTTCAAAAGGATGAGCAATTGGAGAGAGATTTAGACAATCAGCAACAAGGTTGGGGTTGAATTGGTGATAAATACATGAAAACTAAGCCAGTGGGACAATTAAACAGTATTAGATGAGAAAGGAAAAGTGTTGAAAGGTTACTACATGGCTCAATTGTGCAGTTTCCACATAATCCCAATAATGTGAATTGAATATTGAGCTGTACAAAATTATGGCATAACTATACTGGAAAGATGGGGGAATGAAAAGAATATTTGTGTGAATAGAAAAGAGCTAAACCTTCATGCACCATGGTGGGGAGTCAGTGGGTAACACTGAAACAAAATTCACCAAGCAGCGTATCATCTAGAGACAGGGGGTAAAATAAAAAAAACAATTTAAAAAAGGCTAAAACAGGTGTCTGCAAGCACTCTGAGAGTAGTGTCTGCTTTTCCTATTTTTTTAAAAAATAACAATTGTAGAATTGTTTGATTGTTAAATCTATGTGCTTATATGTATAACTTTAATAAAAATGAAAACAAACAATAACAAAAAGGCTTTGTACTTATCAAAATTACTACTGTTGTTTGACCCAGCAATACTACTTCTAGGAATTTATCTTATAAATGATTTGGCAAAATAATGGAATACAAGATAATTCATTACAACACTATCTATAATAATGATTGGAAACAAACCAGGGTTTGGTTAAATAAATTGTTGCTTTTATACAAAGGAATACTATTCCGCTATGAGCTAGGAACAAAAAAGCCCTTTGTGTACTGAAAAGAAAGACCTCAAAGATAAATTACATGTGGAATGTTCATCCTTGGAGTTGAAAAAAAAATTACATGAAAAATGCACAATTCAGAACACTGTATGTATGCTACAATTTGGGTTTTTAAAAAAGGGCTAGAATATATAAATACACATGATTTGTACAAAATATTCCTGGAAAAATACGTTTGAAAAACCAAATAATATTGGTTGCATCTGGAAAGATGTATTGGGTGGCTAGGAAATGGGTGGAGGAAGACTTTTACCCTAAACCCGTTTTATGCATTCTGAAAATGTAAAAGGGTTACTTATTTAAAAAACTAAGTAATGCTGGCTAATATGGTGAAACCCCATCTCTACTAAAAAAACAAAAAATTAGCCAGGCATGGTGGCATGCGCCTGTACTCCCAGCTACTTGGGAGGCTGAGGTAGGAGAATCGCTTGAACTCGGGAGGCGGAGGTTGCAGTGAGCCGAGATCGTGCTGCTGCAGCCTGATGACTGACTCCGTCTCAAAAAACAAAACACACACACACAAAACCTAAGTAACGCTAATAGAGATTATTGCAGGAGTCCTAGTGAGAGTGCAGATATGCAGGTGAGGATAGCAGGAATGAAGACTGATGGGTGATTGCTTAATTGATTATATGTGGAGGGGAGGGAAAGGAGGAGTCTAGCATGAGTCCCTGATTTCTGGCTGTACAGTGAGATATGATTGTGATGCCATTTTCTAGTAATGGGAATTTGGGAAGAAAAGAAAAATGAGTTCCTATACTTACTGCATTTGAGGCAACCTGGCTAAGGATATCTAGCAGGTATCTGGATATGTGAGGCTGAAGCTGAAGAGTAAAACCCATTTACTTCCCAGACTTCATTTACAACCCAAACACAACCCAGCCTGTGTTGTGAAAAGAAAGACCTCAAAGATAAATTACATGTGGAGTGTTCATCCTTGGAGTTGAAAAAAAAAGTACATGAAAAATGCACAATTCAGAACAAAACCCAACCTGTGTTTTGGTTGTAATTGAAGTCTGGGAAGTAAATGGGATTGTCAGGGAGAGAGTATCAAGTGAGGAGAGGTTGTAGCTGAGCACTATTATTAAGAAGAGAGCAGAGAGTCTTCAAGGGAGCCTGAGATACAGGGGCCAAATCCAGCCCACTGCTGATTTTTATAAAATACACTTTTGTTGGAACATAGAGACATCATTTATGCATTGTCCACAGCTGCCTTCATGCTGCAAGAGCAGAACTGAATAGTTGTGACAGGGCACCTGGCTTGCAAAGCAAAACTATTTTCTGTATGGCCCTTTAGAGAAGTTTACCAAACCCCACCTAGACTACGGCAGCAGCCCCCGTAGCACAATGAGCAAGACTCTCTGTGACCTTGGCAGTTCATTCTTGGTTGCCTGCAGAATGAGTTAGCTGTGGCTGGGGTTTCCTCCTTCTAGGGAAAAGGCTGCACCCAAGCTCAGGTTCCCATGGGACTGGCGCCTTCTTCATCACAGGAGTGGAGATTTTTAACATTCCATGGACAGCTGGCATTTCCAGACAACTCCTGTAAACCATTGGCACTCCAAATCCAACTGCCTGTTGCTCAGCATCTTGTGTATTCCCCCATTGACGAGACTTCTTCAAGCTTGCCCTATAGAAAGGGAGACTAGGAGGAGGACGTGCTCTTCTGAAACCAAACAGTGTTGTGGGCCTTGGCTCACCTCTCCATGGGATACATGAGGATGGTACCTTCTTTTTTCCTGGCCCTGTAAATTTGTATTTCCTCCAGTGAAGCTCATTCCTTAGCCCATGCTATGTAGCTTTGTGGATTCACCCTGAAGGGTGGTGTATGACAGCTGATGACCCAGAAGACCCATCTTGCATGCCAATGGAGACCTAGCACAACAGCTCCTAATTGATCTCCCTGCATCCATGTTGATTCTCTTCAATTGTAGTCTTCATCTTGCGGCTAGAATGGGCCTGTCTAAACAGACTTGCCCACCTTCCTCCCACAACCCAGTTGAAAACACAATAGCTCCCCATTGGTCTTAAGACATACCAAAATACCCAAATCTTTAATATGGTTTAATGAAACCTTACTTCCCACCATTCGTCCCTCTCTGGACTGCGGCCATTTTCTCAGTCACTTGTAGTAACCGCATTTCCTCCTGCCCTTGAGCATGTCCTGTTCCCTTTGTCTGAAAGACCTTGCTTTGCTTAATTAACTCCAGCTCCTAGTCATGTTCCCAAAACACTAAACTCAGTTGAAATTTTACATTTTATCTGTATGATTATTTGGTAACTGTTTTCCACGCTAGACTGTAAGATCCACAGATCTCTTTTAAACCAGTAGCCTAGTTTATATTCAAAGTGCCTAGCATAAAGTGGGTGCTTAATGAAATTAGTTGAACACATTTTTAGGTATAATGTAGAAAGAAGCCAGGATCCAAATACCACATACTCTATAATTAAATAAAATGTCTGGAGAAGGCAAATCTACAAAGACCGAAAGATGATGGTGGTTGCCAGGGGCTAAGGTTGGCAACAGAGTGCTTATAAACTGGCATGAGGAATTTTATTGAGGTTATGGAAATGTTCTAAAACTGCACAACTCAGTAAATTTACTAAAAATCATTGTATTGTACATTTTAAATGGGTGACTTTTATGGTATGTAAATTATACTTCAAAAGTGTTTAAAAATAAAAACTTGACTGAATGAAAAAATATAGTTACTGGAAATGGGATCTTTATCTTGTGCTGAATGTGTATACATGTTTTTATACTTTGTCTTCTATACCATTCATCCTATACTGTTTTCTTAGTGCTAATGGATATATGTTTTAACATACCTTATTGCTTAAAAAAATTTTTTTCTGGATTTTTCTTACTCCCTGATTTGAAATAATCAGGCTTGGCATGTTACAAAGTTCCAGGTGTCTCTAACTACCTTGAGTAAGAAGAAATAGGTACAAGGAGTTTCCCTGTGACATAAACCAGCTGCAGAGTTAGGATTCCTAGGAAGTATATATCTTAGGGATCAAGTGTCCTTGATACATGACATTTGTAACACTGAGCTAGATATTTTAAGACTTTTCTGGATTTGCTGATTTCAAAAATAAGTTGCAGTATTGGGATGGGAAAGGTTTTAAAGGTAATCTGAAGTTTGGAACTAATAACTTTAGTACCCTAGATAGTACCGTAGATAAATATCCCTAGAAACAAAAGCCTCAGCCCTTTGGGAGGCTGAGGTGGGCAGATTGCTTGAGCCCAGGAGTTCAAGACCAGCCTGGGCAACATGGCAAAACCTTGTCTCTACAAAATATAAAAAAATTACCCAGGTGTGGTGGTGCACACCTGTAGTCCCGGCTACTAGGGAGGCTGAGGTAGGATGATCACTTGAGTCCAAGAGGTCGAGGCTGCAGTAAGCCATGATTGCACAACTGCACTCCAGCCTGGGTGACAGAGCAAGACTCTGTCTCAAAAGAAAAAAAAAAAAAGAGAGAGAAAAGAAAAAAAAAAAAAAAACCCAGTGCCTCTCCAATAGCTCTTGGATCCCACTGATCCTTTTGGGTGGACTTATCTGCATTTTGGTTGGGTGTACCTGGAAGCAGACCTAAGATAAGCAGACGTAAGATGTTAGGACAGGTGGATGATTTGGGAAGCAGCATTGAAGGGCTGGGCGATTAAGACAGGGAACAAAGAAACACTAACGGAAAGTAGTTACCACTGTGGGCAACCCTAATTGAGGACCCATGTGGAATAAGCCTGAGAGTTGGTCCTCTGAGGATTGAAACATCTATCAGCTGACTGACTCCTGCCCCATTTAGTTGAGGGTTGCCTTGGGTTATTAACTCCCTGATACTTTCTCAAGGGCTCTTGAGAAAGACTCAAGACAGAAAAGCAGAGTGTGGGACTGCTTGGAGTGGAACTTGTCAGGCTGATTGTAACCGTCCACTACAGCGAAGCTGAAATCAGACATGGTCCAAGTGTGTGACTCAGGGCTGCCTCTGTCAAGGAACATCTTTCCAGTGAAACTCCATAAACAACAGGACATCCAATGACATATAACTTCTAGTGCAATTTTATATAAAGTGGTTTTTTATTAGTGAAACATTTCATTGCATTAAGGGTAGAAATAAACACGTCAAGAACCGCATGAAGTGAACCAACTGTATGAGCTACATGAAGAGCATTCTGGTCAGTATTCTCATTAACAGGCACAAGCAATTTAGTGATAATGCCCAGAGGGCCAAGGATACGGACCACCTTTTGCAGAACTCATATCTCAAGCAATTTAAATTAAAAATTAGCCTCCCTTAAGTTAAAAACCCCAATAGGGGTTAGTCGTGTAGTGCTTGTTCCACTTGACCATTAGTGATCTTTCTAGAACATAAGGAAATAAAATCTGGTTGGAAAAGCCTGGAGCTAAAAGTGGCAAAGCCCATCTCCTGTCCTGTGCTCAACTCCTAATTTTCCCTGAGAGAAGTGAGTTAAGCTCTCTGTCTTGGTTTCTTCCTAAGTTGAGGATCATGGTACCAGAAGCTTGCATTCTGTGATCATGACAGTGCTTACAATCACAAAGCCTTTGAGGGTCTTTCTAAGATAACTGCCGCAAGAGAATAAGCATGAGAAATAATTTATCTTTAACTTAAAGCCTAATAGGTGCATTCATTCCTCTTAAGCTATAATTTTGACTGTAGTTTGTACGTCTGTCTCAGACTTTTCAGAAGGATAGTATCAAATGTGATTTTAACCAAGTAACTATTAAGAATCATGACACAG